CCTAAGCTCTTCTAAACATGATTTAAGCTTTGTTCAAAGGAAGGAATGTGGGCCTTAGAAGAAAAATTTATTTTTACTTATTTATATTTGGTCTTTTAAAGACAGGATCTCACTATGCAGTTCGTGCTGGCCTTGAGCTCACTCTGTAGCTCAGGTTGGTCTTGAACTTGTAATGATCCTCCTGCCTCAGCCTCCCGAGTGCTGGGATTATAGGTGTGAGCCACCATGCCTGGTGTTAGAAGAAAAATTTAAAAACACTTTCTAGTGACCTGAAGCCACTACTTCAAGCTGCTGCCGGCAGCCCAAAGCTGGGCAAGTAAACAGAAACGCGATGAGACTCGGGGCAGAGAAGGAGTGGCCAGCTCTATGGTGTAAATGGTTCCAGGGAGGGGAACAAGCTGCAGCGCTCGCTGGTAAGCCTGGAAATGACCTTGGGAATCCTGAGGGCACCAGGCTAGCACACTGGACGCTCTGACAGAGGTCCCGTGGACACAGCACCACAGAGGTAAGCTGCTGGAGAAAATGTGGCTAAGACCAGTGAGAACAATACCAATCTATATCCTAACAACTTTACTTTTGAATATATCATTCTTAAGATCCTATCTAAAAGCACAGAGGGGCTGGGGATATAGCTCAGTGGTATAAGCACCTGCTTGGCAAGAGCAAGGTCATGGGTTTGATCCCCGGTATTGCCAAAAAAAAAAAAAAGGAAAAGTTCAATATATATTTTAAAGTAGGAAATATAAAGTAGCATATAAACTAAGGCTGCACATAAAGAATAGATATATACATGGAACAGAAGTTAAATGTTTAAAAAAAAAATCTATGTTTATTTGAGACAGGGTCTCACTGTAGTTCAGGCTGGCCTCTAACTATATAGCCCAGACTGGCCTTGAACTTGTGGTGATCCTCTTGCCTCAGCCTCCTGAGTGCTGGGAGCACAGGTGTGTGCCACCACTAAAACACTACAATGAAGAAAAGTGATGAGCTTACAACTGTGCTCAGCACAAAGTAAAATGCCGTTTTTGCACAATTTTCTTTAGCATCACTAATAATGTTCTTAAATTGTTGAAACACTTGCTATTCACTGTGTATGATTTAAATATTCTAATGGATACAGTTAAGATTGACTGGAGTTTGGAAAGGTGTGAAGATTCTTGCTATAGAAGCCCTAGAGTGCTGGGAGCTGAGTTTGATGGGAGATTCTTGTCAGAACCTGGAAGAACAGAACACAGACAGAAATGTACATGGTAAAGACCAGACTCAGGAGGTTTCCCCTTGGAACAAGAACTCCACTGAGAGTTGGACCTCAGGCCATGTGTTACGCTTCAGCAGAAAATCTGTCGACATTCTGCCCATATCCTGGGACTTTCTGGAAGGCTGAGATAAAGAGGTGGTGGGCCAATTAACCTAGGAGAGAAAATTTCAAGGCAGCCCAAAGTTCAGATGTGGCATGGGTACTTCCACCTGCTTTTGGCCAGTTTACAGTATGAATCAGAAGCAATGGCAAAACTAAATGATTTTAGAAGTTTGTAGTTTCATTACAAAGGAAGTGCCTGCAACTGGGGCCAAGGAGAGTATATCCGTTGAGACTAATGTTAAAAAGAAGCCAACTCCTTTGCATCAGTGAAACAAGAATGATATCATGAAGGCATCTCAGGAATCAGCAAGACACCCCAACCTCCACCAAAAAGGTACAAAAGTGAAAGGCTGCTTTGGGAAGACAGCCCCAGGGCACCCGGCTTGAGAAAGGCTGCATAGGAAATTGGTTCCCTGGGCTTCGTGTTACAGTGTTCCACTACCCACGCACTTGGAAGCCTCCGTAGCCATGGTCTAAGAGGGCCTCCTTGAGCTGGTGGCAGACCCTGGCATGATCCACACGGTGCTGGTATTACAGGCACATGGAATGCAAGAGCTGTTGGGTCAGGGAGGCGTCCACTCGCATTTCAGAAGAGGAACTGGGAGAAAGTCCCAGGATATGGGCAGAATGATGACAAATTTTCTGCTGAAGCATAACACATGGCCTGAGGTCCAACTCTCAGTGGAGTTCTTGTTCCAAGGTGAAACCTCCTGAGTCTGGTCTTTACCATGTACATTTCTGCTGTCTGGGAGGCCTCCCAGAGGGCAGTATGTGAAGCTAAAAGTATAGTGTAGACCCCAGAAAGTGGGAGACAGCAGCAACATGGCTTGTCTCCTGAGGAAAGCTACACGCAGTGAGCGGAGAGGCCAGCCTAAGAGGAGGCCATGACAACTGCAACTGGTAATGCTGTCAAGGCAGGGCTTCCCAAACCCTCTGGAGTCCACATATCCCAACTCACCCTGGGTCCTGAACACGGAACTACGAACTGATGTTTGCCCTGCTGGTTTTCAGTCTTGCTTTTGTCCAATTCCTTTCCATCCTCCTGTTCTTCCCTTCTAGGATGGGAAAATTTGACCTGTGGCATTGTATGTTGAAAGTATTTAACTTTGTTTTTTTTTTTTATTTTTACAGGGGTGCATAGCTGAGTTTACCTCAAATCTTAGAGAAGACTGGCCTTTTCGGCACTGCTGGAACAGTTGGCCTGTCTGTCTGTTTTTTAGACAGGGTCTTGCTGTGTAGTTCAGGCGGGCCTTGAACTCACTATGTAGTTGAGGCTGGCCTCGAACTCAGTGATTCTCCTGCCTCAGTCTCCTGAATGGTGGGATTACAGCCATGTGCTATCATACCCAGCCAGAAGTGTTAACACTTTGCCAACTCTTAGAGATGGACTAAATGCATTTTACAAAAAAAGATGCACATGAGTCTTTGGGGGCCAGCATGGAAGTCTGAAGTTGTGAGAAAAAGCCCCTTTTCTCTCCTTTAAGTTGTGGGTTTCAGATATTTTGTCCCAAAGATGACAAACTGGCTAGGATGTATTTGTTTGTGTTTTGTAGTTCTGTGAATCAAACCCATGGGCTTACACATGTTCACATGGTCACATGAAGTGAGTTACCTAAAGAATACAGGAGGTTTGGTAGTCTGTCACACGGGCAAGAAGGCAACCTACCTCCCACTGCCCACATATCTCACACCACCATTCTCGTTTTCACAGTAGGGTCCACTTAAGAGTACTTGACAAAAGTCCGACAATCCAATCCAAATTGAGACAGCATTCACATTTTAAAAGGCTTCTTCACGTTTAAATTGTCATCTGAAATGTGGCTCCCTTAGTACAGTTAGGGCCATTAAGTATCTTTTGAAATTCTGGGGTTCAGAAACTAAAAATTAAATTCTAGAAATTACTGTTGGCAAATAAGAAGGGAAAAATAACAAAAATAATCTGAACTTCTATCTTAGAGATATGTATCATCTTTCAAAGAAACCCAGAAACTTAGCTATGACAACAGACCCCTTAACTTTTATAATCCTAGCCCTTGACAGGCGGAAGCAGGCACTTGGGATTATGAGTTTGAGGCCATCCTGGGTGACTTAGCAAGAATCTTGTCTCAAAAAAAAAAAAAAAAAAAAAATCCCTAAAACCAAATCAAAAAACAAAGTCTTTGCTGTAATCACTTCTCCCTCTCGTCACTCTTCATCCCTGACTCTTCTGCACCCGAGTACGGGACTGTGCCTCTTTTGTAAGCGATGATTCACCGTTCCTGTCAGCTGGGATTTGTCTGGATTCTGATTCTGTTAATTCTACGAACTCCTCCTAGAGCTGAGTCACTCACACATTTTCCAGCACACTGTCAGCACCATCAAATTGCTAAATTTCTGGCGAATAAATCTGGGATCAAGCTACCTGGCATTTCAGTACAGACCTCTCTTCAGTTTTCCATTCTTTCAGTAGTAAACCAGTTCTTTATTTCCCTTGTGTGAACTGCCATCAGGCTATCTTGGTCTTGCCCACAAAGGGCAGTAGCAGGGCACAATCACTAGCCAGGGAGGCAGCTCTGACGCCAAGCCGCAGCTCTGCCATCTGACAGCCACATGGACAATTGCCTTAACTTTTTAATTCTCCAGCCTCCAGATAGGTAAAACATCAACAACAGTACCTAACTCACTCTGATGGTTAATCAGCACATTTAAAACTGCGGTATATGGTAAATGTGCTCAACTAATAAAGACTATTTCAGGTACCCCTGTCAGCTGTCTATCTAGTATAGTTCTTGTTTTTTGTTTGTTTTTCCTGGTTTTGTACTGTAGTTTAAAGTTCACACTATCTCTTTTAAAAAATGTTCAGTAGCTGGGTGTTGGGGGCACAAACCATTAATCCTAGTATTTTGTGAAGCTGAGGCAGGAGAATCATGAGTTCAATCCCAGCCTGGACAATCTGGTAAGACCCTGTCTCAAAGGGAAGCTAGGCATGGTGGTGCTCACCTCTAATCCCAGTGGCCTGGGAGGCTGAGATAGGACGATCACCAATTTGAGCCCAGCCTGGGCAACACTGTGACTTAGATACTATCTAAAAATTTAAAAACAACCAAAGAGCTAAACATGTAGCTCAATGTGAAGGTCCTGAGTTCAATCTCTAGCAATGAAAAGTAAATAAATAAGTAACTAAGCAAATATACACAGCTAGCACGTAGCTCAGTGTGATGGCCCTGGGTTCAATTCTGTTTTTTTTTTTTTTTTTTTTTGGTTTTTCTCCGGTACCGGGAACCGAACTCACGACCTTGCGCTTGCCAGGCAGGTGCTTTGCCGCTGAGCTAAATCCCCAGCCCCCCTGGGTTCAATTCTGGAAGACACAGTGAGACCCTGTCTCAAACCAACCAACCAGCAAAAATAAACAAACAAAAAATCCCCAAAGAGTTAGGAAAAATCAAAATCAGAACTGTGTATTTCTGTGCTTGGTCATCTAACCATGCCAGGGGGCTGCGTGGAAAATCAAAACCTTTTTTATCTTTTCCATCTAACTCAAAGGGTCGCTCCCAGTCTCATTACTGCTTCTGGAAATCCTGATCTCATGTGTGGGGTTGATCTTTCCCACCTTATTCTGTCGTCTCCTTTTTTTTTTTTGTACTGGGAGTTGAGCCCAGGGCCTTGTGCATATTAGGCAAGCATTCTACCACTAAGCTACATCCCAGCTCTTTTCAAATTTTATTTTGAGACAAGGTCTAGCTCAGTTACCTAGATGGGCCTTAAACTTGTGATCCTACAGCTTCAGCCTCCTGAGTAGCTGGAATTGTAAGTGTGTGCCCGCAAGTCCACCTCCACCTGTACTCTCTGGGGTCTGCCATTCTTCTCCAGTCACTTCTGATCTGCTGTCCTATCTTGCACCTTTGGTAAAAGTTCTTTTCATGCTTGAGGTCACGGGACACCTCCCAGGCCTCTTACGTGATTCCTCCTTTTTTCCTGTGGTTGACTGGACTGTAAGCACTGTTTAAAACTCTTGAACTGTTTATTTCCCCACCTGAAGGGAGTCTACAGGAATGGGAAATTTTTTTCTTTGAATGTCTTCACATTCGTTTTCCACATAACGAGTAAAACGATACCCAGCATTCCATTAATTTATTAGTCACAGTGGAGGGTAACCAAGGCCACCCTCGGAGGGTTACTTAGTATCGGAGTCATTTCAGAATCCCCAAGGATAGTCTTTGACTGCCCCAAATTTTCCACATTTCCTGAAGGCAAAGCTTTGCAAGTCCTATAAATGAAGACACACATATAAGCCAGAGCTTTCAGCAGAATCATAGAGTCCATTTTGCTGAACAAGGCCTTACATTGTGTGATTCATCTGATGACAGCTTTGGTTTGGTTTCAATTCTCCTGTGATGTAAGATCACAAATGAGAGAGACATTTCCACAAGGTCTGCTGAATGCTCTCATTCGCAAAGACAGGAGCAGAGAATTTCATTCCAGGATCTCGTCACCATATCAGAACAGAATAAAGTGCAAATTTATGTGTGGTTATCCCTTCCTAAACTTTAAAGACCACTTATTTTGCTTATTTCAGTGCGCTGCTTCCGGGCTGGGATGTTGCTCGGCGGCAGGGCACTTGCCTAGGCCTGTGTGACGCTCTGCGTTCAATCGAATATGAGGAAAAAAAAAAAAAAAAAAAGGCACCACACCAGTTTCAGGACTGCAGACCCTCCTTTTAGAGACGGTCATGTCTTGCGGAAGTTCGGTGTCCATGAGGCCCCGACAAGATAATTCTTCATCAGGGATGAGAGTATTTTTATTTCAGTGAAAACTACTACACTTTCTCCTTTTAAAGACCTGGTCACCTTACTCATTTCTCTCGTTTAACTTTCTATCAATAACTCAAATTTCTACGTTCTCAAAACTTCTTTGATTTACCGCACACTCCCAAGATACATCTTAAAAAAGGTCATCCTGAGACCATCGGAAACCTCAGCCCACTGTGAGGTTGATCCCTTGACAGGACTGCACCCAGCCCCACCAGCGCATCTGGAGCCTTAGCGTCGCAGTGAGATCGGACTCGGGAGGAAACCATCGCACCAGGACTAACGTTAAGAGGACACCCCGCTCTCTGCCTGGCGGACGCATCGGGAAGGCGGAAGTCCCCGGGGTGGCGCGTGGCCTAGCAGGGAACGCAGCCGGGCGCAGGTGCAGGGGAACCCGGCCGAGCCCGGCAGCCGGCGGCTCCCGCCCGCGCGGACCCACAGTGCGCACGCGCACCCGGCCTTTGTGCTCGGACCCCCGCCCGCCGCGGGGGTCAGGGAGGAGGAGGACGAGAGGGGCCGGCGAGGGCGGCGCCGCGTTACCTGCCCGCGGCCTCCGCTTCCATGCCCAGGCCGCGCGGACGGCTGGTCCTCCCGGGCCCACGGCCGTTGGCCTCAGTGTCCCGGCAGTGCGCTCACGGCGACAAAACGACACCGGAGACTTCACACGCGGGGCTCGGCTTCTCCCGCGCCGCCTCGGCACCCCCCTCCCGCCGGACCCCTTTCCGCGCGGCACTTCCGCTCCGCGGGCCGTCACCTGACGCTCCCACCCAATCGCGTCCCCCGGCGGGGCGTCCCTCCGCCCCGCGGCCTGTCGGGAAGGGGCGGGGCCCGTGTGCGGACTCAGTTCCCTGGACAGGTGTGGTGTGGTGTACGAGTTCGTGTAGAGACCGGAATCTAGGGAATGAGCCTCTTTCCTGAGCTGTAAAAGCAGGGTGACTGTTAAGATGCGAAGCCTTACGTAAACCATTGTCTGCTCGACATCGGGTATGCGAACATACTAACGTTTGAAGTCCATGATGCTGGACTATTCATGCATCACCTCCTGGCAGACTAACCCCACTTTTATTTCTCATGGTTCTTCCAGTGGGTTGGGGGGGTAGTTTTTGTTTTGATGGTTCTGGGGCATTGAACCCCCAGGACTGTACCACTGAGCTACATCTCCTCCCTTTATTTAGAGGCAGGACACTAACTTGCCCAGGTGGGACAACCACCTTGGGATTCCGCATCTTTGATCCTCCTGCATCAGCCTCCGTAGTGCTGGTGTTACAGGGGTACGCCACCACACCCGGCTTACAGTGGGTTTTGGTTTCATCAATTCTCAGCTTCTGTCACTGGTGTTCGTGTAAGGACTTCACTAGATAACTTCAGAGACAAACGTTTCTCTAGTTTACATGATGAGAAACATGGCTGTCTTAGCCTTCCCCAGCGAGTGCCAGTGCTAACAAATAAACCCACCCTCCTGGCTCATAGCAGCAAAGGTTTATTTTTCACTTGTGTGACAGTGACCTGGGAGAAGGCTGGTGCTCTGTCACTGTTATTCTAGGATGCAAGAAAAACCTTCCAAAAGTACAGAAAGGTGGGTTAATTTGTATTATATTGTTGGAAATGTAAATGAAACTTTTTTTTGAGACAGGGTCTCGATATGTACTTGAGATGGGCCTTGAACTCACAATGTAGCCCAGGCTGGCCTCGAACTAATGGCGATCCTCCTGCCTCAGCCTCTCCTGGGCTAGGATTACAGGCATTTGCCACCACACCTGGCAGAACTCTTAATGTCCATTAGACAGGTACCCAGTGATTGTTTACTCAGTGAGTAAAAAAAAAGCTCCATCCTAACTGGGGTTCTGTTAGGGCACAAGACCGCAGCCTGCCGAAGTTCCAAAGGCAGGCAGTTTGCCTCGGTCACTCCATAGAGAGCCTGCTGCTGAGTGAAGTGTACGTGGAGGGCCGCAGACTCACTCCTGGGCTGCGAGGGCCCCCCGCTACGGGCCTGCTGGTCTCCCCAGCTCCAGGGGCCTCTGCCAGTCCGTACTGCAAAAGGAAGCTTACGGGACCTTGGTCCTGAGAAGCGGAATGCAACTGAAGCCAGGCGGCCTCTATGCCTTCTGTGTTGCTCTCAGCAGGCTGAATGGAGTGTGGCAGACAAAGGATCTGCGGCCTCCAAAAAGCCGCAGAGAAGGGAGCCCAAATGTGCCTCCACTTCGGAGAAGCTGTTTGTGATAGAGGAATGAGAGACACAGCAGAAGCGCGGGTCACGTTTCCGCCTTTCCCTCTCTTCCTCCTCATGCCGCCCCTGCCTTTAGGAACCTCGGCGGCTTGCTTCCTTCTTAGCTGATGTTGACATTTTGTCAGCAAGGTTGGATCTTGGACAGGGCTTTTCACACGGGGTCTTCGTTCACAAGTGGGCTGCCAGTGTCCACGCTGAACATGGGGACCTCGGGGACTAACATCTCACAGCAGAGGAGACCAGGTGAAGCAGAGGTTGTGTTTGTAACCATGGCCGTGTTGCTGACAGCCAACGTTTCCCGATCTGTGCGTATGTGCCCTGGGCTGCTCTGAGTCTCTGGCAGGTATTAACTCACTTAAATCCAGAACAGCCAACCGTGTGAGCTCAATGTTGTCTCAGTCCATTCAGCTGTCGTAACAGAACACCATAAAAATTTATTTCCCACAGCACTGGCGGCTGGATGCCCGCCATCAGGGCACTGGTGGACTCGGGCTGCGGTGCAGTGACGCTGCTTTCTGGTGTGAGGATACCTTTTAGCTGCATCCTTGGTGGTGGAATAGGAGAGGAGCTTCGGCCTCTGTTACAAGGGCTGTGCCCTCATGACCTAATCTCCTGCCAAGGGCCTCACCTGACTCGATCACAGTGGTCACTAGGTTCCAACATATGAATGCGGGGGGGGGGGGCAGTAAATACTGTATCTGTTTTATAGTTCAGGTCCAAAGGAGAATCCCCTCATGCTCCAGGGAACACAGGTCTATAACTGTTCTCGCACATTATGGAGGGTGAGCTACTTTATCCAAGTGGACACACAGACATGTTCTGGATGGCATGCCTAGCTAAGCCGGTGCATAAAAGACATCATCAAAGTAGCTACTATTATTATGTACATTTTACAAAGAAACTAGACTAGTATGGTGGTGCATGCCTGTAAACCCAGCACTCAGGAAGCTGAGACAGGAGGATCACTGTGAGGTCAGCCAGGGATACATAGTGAGTTCAAGGCCAGCCTGGGCTACACAATTCTAGGCCAGCCAAAATGACCTAGTGAGATCCTGTCTCAAAACAACAACAACAACACAGCTACTAAGTGGCAGAGTCAAGATTATTGCCAGGGCATTCTGGATCCAGAGTTCCCCCTCACTGGGACTTGTGTGAGGCTAAGCAGCATGTGAGGAAGCAAAGACTTCAGGCAGAAGGGCACTCAAAGCCCAGAGAGTGCTCTGCAAACAGTAAACACATATTTAGAACACTACATGGCCATATTAGAATAAAAGGAAGCCCAAGCGTGGTGGTGCACGCCTGTAATCCCAGCACTGGGAAGGCTGAGGCAAGAGGATCTTTGTGAGTTTGAGACCAGCCTGGGCTACGAAAGTGAGCTGAAGACCAGCCTAAACTGCATAGCAAGACCATGTCTCAAAAAGACAAAAAAAAAAAAAAAAAAAGAAAAGAGAAAAAATTATAACACTAAAAGGAAGGTCTCACATCAATGGCTTTAGCTTCCACCTTAATCTACAGAACTAAGATCAAGTTAAACAAGAAGTAAATAAAAGAAATAATAAATATTGGGGGTAAAGCCATGCTAGCGAAGCTTAAAACTGATAAACTTCTAGTCAAGCTTAACAGAAAAAAAGCACAAAGTAATTTGGTTAATTGAAGCAGTTAAAGATGAAATAAATGACAATAACAAACTATATACATTAAAAGTATAAGAATGGAATAGTTTGAGCTTTATGTCTACAAAATCAATAACTTTATTGAAATGGACATATCTCTTGAAGATATTAACTACCAAAGCTCATGGAAGAATAAATAGATAAGCTGAATAGCCCTATTTTTCTTTCTTTCTTTCTTTTTTTTTTTTTTTAAAGAAATTGAATGTAGGGGTGGGGAATATAGCTCAGCAGCATAAGTGCCTGCCTGGCAAGTGTAAGGTCTGGAGTTTGATTCCCAGTACCAGAAAGAAAGAAAGAAAAGAAAGAAAGAAAAGAAAGAGAAAGAAAGAAAAAGAAAGAAAGAAAGAAGGAAGAAGAAGAAGAAAGAGAGAGAGAGAGAGAGAGAGAGAGAGAAAAGAAAAAAAGAACGAAAAAAATTGAATGTATACTTTAAAACTTGCCCACAAAGAAAATTCCAGGCCCAGTTAGGTTAACTGGTGTATTCTACCAGACATTTGAGGAAGAAATAAAGCCAAAACTTATAAGAAAACAAGCTTTAAAAAACTGGGCAATCGCTTCTCAGCCTTTTGGCTAAGATCAAGTGTAAAACACTGGGCAAGATATTTGAACATATACTTCACCAAAGAAAATGTAAGTCCATGAAAGTCTGTTATTCATTTTAATTTCTTTACATGGTGTAAGGTATGGACCCAAGCCTTTTTTGTTTTGTTTTTGCAGATGGACATCTGAGTCATAGTCATGATGGAAATACAAATTAAAAACAATAAAAAAAACATACAAATTAAAAATACAAATTGAAAACATTATTACCTGTTAGAATCATTAAAATTAAAATGACTGTGGGCTGGGGATGTGGCTCAGTGGTAGAGCTCTTGCCTTGCATTCACAAGGCACTGGGTTCAATCCCCAGCATCACGTACACTTAAAAACAAAACAAAACAAAACCAATAATAAATAAATAAATTTTAAAAATACAAAAAATGACTGTATTTGGTTATCTGAGTAACCCCTTTCAAGACAATGGTTGTTGTAATACAACAACCATTGTTAATTTCCTATCACCTTGTTTTGAAATTCTGTATCGTTTTTATTGTTTTTGTGTTGTTTTGTTTATGTCTTCGTTTTTGTTACTTTGTTTTTGTTCTTTTTAAAATAAAAAATAAAAATAAAATAAAATAAAATAAAAAATAAAAATAAAATGACTGACCAGAGCAAGCGTTCAAGATATGGAGGAACTGGAACTCTCACACATTGCTAGTGGGAGATAATGCTACTCTGGAAAAGTTTGATAATTTCTAAAGAAGTTAAATATACACCTATCCCATGCACCAGATGTTCATTTCTTAGGTGTGTATCTAGTAGAAAAGGAAGCCTATGTTTACAGAAAGACATGTGTACAAGGCTTCCTCACCTCGTACTGTTTATAGCAGCTTTCTTCTCATTAACCAACTGGAAGCAACCAGAATATCCACCAACAAGTAACTGGATAAGCCAACTGTGGTATAAATATATTCAGCAGCGAAAGAGAGTGAACTATTGATACATGCAACAAAGTGGATGAGTCTCAAAAGACCGCGTAAAATAAACCAGACCAAAACACCCTACATAGTTTTATTCCATTTATACATAACAATCTATAATATGGAAACCTATGTGTTGACCAAAAGCAGATCAGTGATTCCTTACGGAGTGAAGCTGTGTGGGAAGCATTAAAAAGAGCACAAAGAAACCTTCGGGGGTGATGAGTATGTTCATTAGCTACACTGTGGGAATGTTTCATGTACGTGTGCGGGACAAACTGCATCGAACGTGTACTCTGGCAATTTATTATGTGTCACATGTATCTCCATACAGTTGTTTTGAGGATGAGTGTATCATGATTTGTGTTACAGAAAGATTAATGCTTTAGAATTCATTTTTGCACTAACTTCGTGCTTAACAAATCTCAGCGCACTGCCCACAAATCCCTGTAATTCGGTCACGTGGACTCCTGGTTTCTTCTCTGGCAGCGGCCGGGTGCGGCGCTATTTCAGGGCTGGCGAGGACTCGAGAACAGGTAAAAATAGACGCGTGCTCCCTTCCCTACTTCCGCCGGGTCACGTGGTGCGCCTGCGCCGTGCTGCGCCTGCGCCGCGGTGCGCGAACATTCCCGTCCGGCGCGGCGCTCGCTCCTCACCCTTGGGGTCCGGCGCGGCCGAGGCCCCGCCTCGCCCGCGCGCTCCCGCCGCCGACCATGCCCGCGGGCGTGTCCTGGCCCACCTACCTGAAGATGTTAGCGGCCAGCCTCCTGGCCATGTGCGCGGGCGCCCAGGCGGTGCACAGGTTCTACCGCCCCGACCTGGTGAGTGCGGAGGGGCCGGGGCTGGGTCACGGCGGCCCGGGCGGCGTGGGAGGGTCGGCCCTCGCCGCCTTTGCCGCTCTGCGCCCCCTGTCCGTGCCGCCTGGGGGTCCCGGCAGCGTCTCCGACTGAGAAGGCCTAACGCTACCTCCGAGCAGTTTTTCAACGGTGCCGTCCGTACTCCCTCCGGGTCCCGCGTGGCTTCCTCTCCCGACTTCCGGGCCGGGCCGGAAGTGGCTCCGCGCGAGGCCCGCGGGGGCGCCCAGCTGCGCCCGACTGTCACCCTGCGCTGGACTCGCTCCTCGCGCGGGCGCTTGTGCCTCCGTCACTTAGAATAGAGCTTGGCACGGCGCGGGGGACCTGTGAGTGTGTGCAGGGTGAAGAGCGGGCCAAGTGAGGCCTTTAAAGGGTTGCCCGGCCTGGTGGCCCACGTCTGACATCCCAGCACTCGGGAGGCTGAGGCAGGAAGATCTTTACGAGGCCGGAAGATCTTTACGAGGCCAGCCTAGGCTACACAGTGAGCTCAAGGCCAGTGTGACCTACATAGTGAGACCCTGTCTCAAAAAGACATAAATAAATAAATAAAGAAGTAAAGAAAAATAAAGGAGAAATTTTAGTGGTAATAAGCGTTCACCGAATTAGGAACTGGAGACTTAGGAGGCTGGGCCGAGTGTCCACCGTGGGCCTGCAGGGGTTTGCAGCAGCACTCTGCCTGGACTGTGCCCGGACAAGGTCACATTTAGGCAGGGCCCACGATGTGTTGAAATTAATTAATTTCAGTTAGTTTTCACCGCAGTTTGGAGGTGTTTATCCGTGTTGCCCAGCGGGGAGACTGAGGTTCCGAAGGGCGGAGGAGAAGACCCGACATCATAGGGTCATGAGGCGGTGCTGAGAGTCAGATCCTCAAGCTGCTTGGTGTCTCGCTTTTGTTCGTATTACGGAGATAATGCAGTTGCTCTGTAAAACTTCCAGACGAGTTGAGATGTGTGTCGAGTAAAAAACTAAAGTCCCTCTTCTCCCCCTTTTATGGTCACCACTGTTGGTGGGTTTGTACGCGCACATGTGTGCACACACGCAGAGTTCATACACACATCTTGGTGCAGTTTGTTCTGTTAACTGTGTGAATAGACATTTGTGTGTATTTGTAGTCTACAACCATTGCATAGTCCTGTTTTGTGCTTTTGTGATCTAGGGAGTGGACCCAGGGCCTTGCACTTGCTAGACATGGGCTGTACCCGCTCGGCCACTGTATGGGATAATGTAGATATTCCATGGAGTACACGTATTCCAGACGTTATCTGCTCAGTCCCTTTTGGCCTTAAATGGTTGTGGTCTTTGTACAACCTGTGCTGTCACAGCTGCTTCCTGCCACTTCAGACCGCTTCTCTTTTGGGACGCTTAGTGGAGACAGAAAGTGACAAGAGCGTCCCTTAGAAATACGGTCTGTTTAGGCTCGCCTGTGCAGGAAGAGGCACCAGCAGTTCTCACGCAGGAAAGAGAGCGCGGCATCTACCTGGAGGTGGGCTTGACTCCCCTGTCTCGACATAATCGGTGCCCACCCTTCAGCAGGGGCACCTGGAGGGTCCAGGCCACCTCTGTCTGACTGGGCCTCTCTCCGGGCATTTAAAGGCCAGGAGGGGAGGCCGGGTGGGTGCCCAGGCTTTACTCGTGTTGGCAGAGTTTCTGCTCTTTGCCTAGTCTTTGGAATTGTCCCAGCTGTTGCTGCTGCTACTCTTGCTCTGTAACAAAACCTTGTAGCAGACTAGAGGTTTGAGGGGAGCTCAGAGCTGAGGAGACCATGATGGGCCGGGGCTGCGTCCTGAGGGCCCTGCGAAGGGTGCTTGCTTCCAGCTGTTTGGCTCATTTCTTCCAGGTTGTTTAGGCTGAAGCTTGGGCGCCATCCTAACACTCACTGAACACCGCGGGCCGGTGGGATTCACCTGAACATGATGCCCACACACGGATCACTTGTCACACCTCGATGGCCTCCCCCAGGGCGAGGCCACTACTAGTCGCCTTTCTCCTCCACCTTCCGCCTTCTGCTCTCCCTTTCCTGCAGTTCTTTCTCAACAAGCCACCACTGTCACCTTTTTTTTGAGATGGGTCTTGCAGGCTGCCTTGAACTCATTATGTAGGCCAGGCTGGCCTTGAATTTGTGGTGATCCTCCTGCCTCTGCCTCCCAAGTGCTGGGATGACAGGCGCTCACCACCACACCCGGCTCAGGTCCCGCCATTCTTCTCAGAACTCTCAGGGTCTTCCCACAGCAGAGTGAAAGGCACTGGATACCTGATGCCCACTGTGGGCCCCTCCTACCTCCCAAGGAACCTGCGACAGTGTCTTGCTTTCCCTGGGACGAAGGCAGAGCCCTGATGGGTGTCTCTGTATTTGTGCCTCTGCCACACAAACACCACCCTCAACTTCCTTCCTGTCCTTGTTCAAAGTCACCGTCTCGGCCAGTGAGCAGAGCAAAGGACGCTCGCGTCAGTGGGCACCAGAGAGATGGAAATCAAAGTGACAGCGAGAGGCCACTCCTGCCAACTGTGGTGGCTGTAGTAGAACAGGCAGCAAAGGTGTCGAGGGCACATGGAGGCGTTTGAGCCCGGTGTGATAACGGTGTGAAGGAAGGGAGGTGTGGCTGCTTTGGAAAACACTGCTGATGCCTCCTGTAGTTACTGTGGGACCCAGCAGTTCCATTTCTAGGTTTTACCCAACAGGCACGAAAACCTATGTCTACCCGAAAACTTACATATAAATGTAGAGCCTAAAGGTTGAAATAATCCAGATGCCAGTTAGCTGTTGAATGCGTAAATAAAATGAGGTGTGTCTGCACAATGGAATATTACTTTGGCAAGGAAATAAATGATGTACAGGTATATGTGACACATGGATGAACCTTGAAAACATTAAGCTACGTGAAAGGTCCAGTCACAAAGGACCACACACTGTATGCTGCCTTTTCTGTGAGACACCAAAAAGCCAGGTGTGATGGCACATGCTTGTAATCTCGGCACTTGGGAGGCAGAGGCAGGAGGATTCAGATCAAGGACAGGCTGAATTACATACTGAGACTTATCTCAAGCAAAACAAAATAAAACAAAACAATGCCCTAAATAGATGCATTTATGGAGACAAAAAGTTCTGGGAGTGGTAGGGAGGGTTGTATTGAAATGGGAGCTATGCTAATGGATAATTTCTTTTGGGAATGGTGAAGATGTTCTGAAATTTATTGTGATGACTCCCAGCTCTGTAAATAGATCATAGTAAAAGCCATTGAATTGTATACTTTCCTTGTGTGTGGTGCTTGAGATCAAACCCAGGGCTTCACGTGCACTGGGCAAGCACCCTACCATTGAGCTATGCCCTCAGCCCTGAATTGTACACTTTCTTTTTTTGGGCAGTACTGGGAATGAACTCAGGTCCTTCACACTGAGTCACATCTTCAGTGCTTTTAATATTTAAAAAAAATTTTTTTAATCGAGACAGAGTCTTGCTGTGTCTCTAGGTTGTCCAGGCTGGCCTTGAACTTGAACTTGGAATCTTCCAGCCTCAGCCTCCCAGAGTCTGGAATTACAGGCATGTACCTCCACAGTCAGCTCTGAATTATACACTTAAAAAGGGAAAATGGTATAATATGTGAATTATATCTCAATAAAATTATTAAGAAGGAAAAGTCATCTCTTGCCTTTCTTGTTCACCTTCCTCGAAGACCAGCTGTGATAGTTCTGCTCACCGCTCTGTTGTGTGTAGCAGGTGCTTCCTGTTGAGTGGAACTGGTGTGAGCTGTCCCTGTGTAAGCGGTTGTCCTTCCGACGGGGCCAGGATGGTAGGGGCCTAAACACAGCTGGAAGGGGCTTTCGATCAGCCAGAGGTTCTCATAGGAGAGACTGTTGTGTAGGACGCAGGGCGCTTTGTGACATCGAATGACAGCCTTCCACGGTGCTCGTGTCTTAGTTTTTTGTTTCTGTTTCTTTTGTAGACGATACCTGAAATCCCACCAAAGCCTGGAGAACTCAGGACAGAGCTTTTGGGACTGAAGGAAAAAAAACACGAACCTCAGGTTTCTCAGCAATAGAAACTGCTACATTTGATGATGCCAAGAGCCCTGGGAATAAGTCATTTGTATAATTTATGGAACCCAACTCCTGGTCCTTAAGCATCTGATTCAGTTACCGTGGGAAGAGATGCTGCAGGGATATGCACTGATAGGGTGCGGTTTTTTGTAGTTTGATCAATACCTTGAAAACTGCCAAACTGCATATTCTGAGCTTTGAATATATGATTTGGAAGATACCGAGGAACATGTGAAAGAGTATTTTCACTGCCTCCTGCCATTACAATTATGGTTTATTTCTCTGAGCACAATTGATTGTAGTGGCAAGTGGGAATTATAAATGTAATAAAAAGTGATTTTGCAGTGAGTGCTTATAGTGTCTTAAGTTAATACTTTTCTAAATATTGGAAAGTACTATTCATACTACGTGGTATTAAGTAAAATTATTTAAAATTTGAAGTTCTTCCCAAGTGTGTAGATAACCAAATTATATAACATTTGTGAGTTGGTCAAAGTTGCTGTGTCTCTAGGTTGTCCAGGCTGGCCTTGAACTTGAACTTGGAATCTTCCAGCCTCAGCTGGTTTAAAACCATCACATGTCAGAAATTCTTTAAATCTGAGAAATCAAATTAAAAGTTTTCTCAAAGGGAACTTCCGGAAAGATGGCGGAGCGGTAAGCAGCAGAGAAAACACCTAAGACTTGCGGTCCAGACCCTGGAATACAGCAGTGTGAGGAAGACAAGGAGGGAAGTGGGTCCCCTGGACCCAGGAAGGATCTGAAGTGCAAATTGAAGCACACGGAGCGAGTGAAGAGAGAAACTTCAGTGAAGAGGAAGGAGGTGGCTGGTGGCGCCTTCTCCCTGAGATGGACTCATTGTGCGAGAGGAGCGGTTCAAATCTGCAGACACACGGTGACTGCTGGCGACCCCAGAGGCTTCTGAGGAGAGACGCAGTGGTGGAGGGGAGCAGTGGATGGGAAGGACTGCACTAGCAGGCAGTGAGTGCTGAGGACTCAGTCATCCCAAGCAGGAAAGCGATTGGCCAGGAGCCGTCTCGGAGAGGGGCTGCTGGCTCCATCTAGCGGCTCCCAGCTGGGCTCAGGCCCACAGAAGGTGTGCTGAGGGCTGCAGGCTGAAAGGATCTGATCTCTGCCCCCACAGCCAGAATCTAGACTGAATTTTAGGGGAAGTAAAAGTGCAGGCTCGCTGAGATTACCCGCTAGCCCACCATAAGCTACTGCTGGCTTGCTGGGAAAAATCGCGCAGATCTGGACTCTGTCTCCACACACTGTCCACCAGTGACAGCAGAGACAAACCTGGAAGTGGACTTTGCTCTTCTTTCCCTCTTTTTTGTTGTTGTTTTCTCCTTGTTTGATCTTGTTTTTATGTGTGTGTGAATGTGGTTTCTAGCTTTGTGGTTGTTCTGTTCTGTGTTCCCTTTATCTCTTCCTTCTCTCTTTCCCTCCTGTCATCTGCACCAGTTTCCCAAAGTTTGCATGATCCCCGTTGTCCTCCAGCCTTCCTTCTGATCTCTTCCTCTTCTACTTCTCTATTTTTTCCCTAACCCCTTTTAAATTTTCACCCTATGGTAAAATTGACCTACTGTGGCGGACTGATAACTGGTGGCCGACTTGTAACACCCAGCTGAATGGAACCAGTGTGGGAGGCCCACCTGGGGATCATTGTCGACAGCATAAGAGGCAGAACTGGAGAAGAAGAAGAGAGGCTGTTGGGAGCTGGTAGAAGCTGCTGTTAGAAGCTGAGGGAAGCTATAAGGAGCTGTTGGTTCTGTTGGAGGACCTTGTCATGCTGGCTTCCCTGATGAACTTGGCTGTCCCCGTTATCCAAGGAGCTCGGGACCCTGTTGTTGCTGAGAATGGCTTCGGTTCACTTTGGGGGAGCTCTGGTCCTCACTTTGAGTATCACTTCCTGGCTCCAGTGGGGAAGATGGTGCGCTGCTCAGTCTCCTGGAGGAGCTTGTCCTTTTGGCTTTCCTGATGGAACTCGGCTTTCCTCATTATTGGAGGAGCTCAGGACCTCACTGTTGCTGAGGATGGCTGTGGTACCTTTTGGGGGCGCTCTGGGTTTTACTTTGAGCATCCCTTCCTGGCTCCAGTGCAGATCCCTCAGCCTGCTGGCACAGATCCTTCCTCCCGCTGGCACAGACTTTCTAGCTTCCACCACTGACCTTTGGGCCTTCCCAGCAGATCCATGAAACAGGCCTGCATGAGATATTGTTACAGGCTCTGGGCCTCCAGTTGGACTTGTGGGAGGCATTGTTATGAGCTCTAGGTCTTCAGCTGGACTCATGCAGGACATTATCGTGGGATCCAGGTCCTTGGCTGGATTCTTTGGTCTTTAGTGTGTGGACAGATTTCCTGCACTATTTGTATATGATTCTTTGGGCGACTATGATAAAATATGTGTTCTGTATTGTTTATCCTTGCAAAACCCCAAACTGTGACACATATGAAGGACTTTGCATATAATTTTCTGGTTTTATTTATTTATTTATTTATTTATTTATTTATTTATTTGTTTATTGTCTTTTTGAGACAGGGTCTCGCTATGCAGTTCAGGCTGGCCTTGAGCTCACTTTGTAGCCCAAGCTGATCTTGAACTCGCAACAGTCCTCCTGCCTCAGCCTCCCAAGTGCTGGGATTACAGGCATGTGCCACTACATCTGGTTTTCTGGTTTGATTTGGATTTATGTAACTGCAAAAAAAGAAAAAATAGATTTATATAACTGCAAATCTTGTCCATATGGGTTAAAGGGCCAGGGATGTAGCTCAGCAGGCACTGCGCCTGCCCAGCAAGCGCAAGGTCATGAGTTCGATTCCCAGTACCAAAAAAAATAAATTAAATAAAATAATTGGTTCATACAGGTTAAAGGTGGCAAATCAATGGTACCTCAGCTTGTCTCTTTCTAGGCTGTGTTTGAGGCTGTTGTTATTGCTGATGGTACCACTTGAGCCAAAGTGACAATTGTTCTAAGCAGCTGTTCTTCCTGGTATTCCAAGACCTAGACTGCCTAAGGGTCATAGAAAATACTGTAGGCCAGGGCCAAGCAGGCAGCAGATTCTCAAAGGATTTATTTTAAAACAACTGAAAAAGGAAAAAACCTTGCAAAAGCGAAGGAGTACTTTATGGGTTGAATTTTGTTTCCACGGAGATGTTGAAGTCCTAACCCCCAGTCCTGTGAATGTGCCGCGTTTGGAAGTTAGGTCTTCACAGGTATAACCAGGTTAGGGTGAGGTCACCAGGTGGGTCTGACCCAACACAGCGGCCGTCTTAACAGGAAGCAAACGCCATGTAAAGACTCACACGCAGGGGAACACTTGGCCCTAAACGCAGAGAAGATTCCACGCAGAGTCACAGAGCACAGCCTGACACCTGGAGTTTAAGGTTCTGGGCCCCAGAGCAAGGAGAAATGCCTTTCTGTTGTTCTGAGCCTCCTAGTTCATGGTACATTATTCTGGCCGCCCTAGAAACTAACATGAGAAATTTCAACTGTTTCTTGAGTCTATAATGTGTAGGCTTTTCTTCTGGGCTGTTTTCCCATAAGTTTTTCAGGTTCTGTATTTTTCTTGAGATAGGGCATGGCTATGTAGTTCAAGCTGGCCTTGAGCTCACTGTGTATCCCAGGCTGCCCTGAACTAACAGTGAGCCTCCTGCCTCAGCCTCCTGAGTACTGTTATAGGCACGTGCCATCTGGGCTCTAGAATTCTATATACTTACCAGTTTTTTGTTTGTTTGTTTTTTGAGACGGGGTCTTGCTGTGTAGTTCAGGCTGGCCTCAAAATCATGACAATCCTGCCTCAACTCCCACGAGCTGGGATTACAGGCGTGTGCCACTATGCCCAGCAGCATTCTATATTCTTAAAGATCACAGTTCACCTTACTGCTTAGCCAATGAGCAAGTTGCTCTATGCCGGGGCTCTTTGTGGCCTGCATTAAAGTCTTCAGTTCTGTTTTTGATCTTCCTTTCCTCCATCGTTGTTACTTGAGACCTTGGCAGAGGCTTCAGCTCTGGGGGGACCTTGGGTCCCGCAGGTGACGGGTGAGGGAGGGCTGACAGCGGTGGGATTCTGAGGTCACAGCCTTGAGCTGGAACTATTTGCTACTTTATTCATTGAGATTTTGTGTATGAGACTTACTGTCTCTGGATAGATTTTTAGGGCTATTAATTACTTTTTTTTCTTGAAAAAAAATAACTATGTATTTTAGAAATTGTGAAGTTTGCCACTATTAGCAATTTTAAGGGCTTTATCAGAGCAGAAGTTTGAGACCTTCTTTGTCTTGGTTACTTTCCTCATTGCTGAGACAAAATGCTGGACGTCCCGAGTTACAGGAGGAAAGGTTGATTTAGCTCACAGTGTGAGGGGGTTTCAGTCTGTAACGGGCTGGCTCCAAGGCGGGGTGGTGTGGCAGAGGGCATCGCAGAGGAGAAACAGTCCATGGCAGGATAAGCAGGCAGCGCAGGCCTGCCTTCTCCCTTTATCCCTTCCAGGCTACCCACACCTGCTTAATCCCAGCATCACACAGTCTAATCCAGCTAGCTGCCTTTCAAACTCCCCGCCTAGGACTGTTTAAGGCTTTGGGGGGTATCTAGATACAAGCCATAACATTTTAAAAATGAAAATAATTGAAGAATGGGTTACTATGGAATACTAATTCAAGAATTCAAATCCAGGTGTTTAATTTCCTCAGAATATGCAGATTGCAGGGAGGGTATTATGCAAGGTGTCTTGAGGTATAAACAGCATGAAACCATTGCAAAACTAGTTTCACCAACTCAATTGCTAATGGAGTTCTTAGTTTCTATTGCTAAGCTGCTCTTCAAATTCCAGTTCCCCGGGGAAGTTAGTATCCACACAGGGGGCTGGTAAGCTTGGCCGCCACGTGTGTAGAAAGGTGAGGAGCCTGCTTCCAGCAGGAAGGGCTGGGGTTGCTTCCTGTGCCCCTTGGCCCAGCTGTCTGCGTGGAGGCGCCTCTGTGCTGGGGTGGCCTCGGGGTTGCTTGGTAAGCACTCCACCTTCCTTCACAGGCTGCGGACGTCATGGCTTGAGCCCCATTCCTCCTAAGACAGTGACTTCATGAAGATGAAAATTTAATTTTACAGAATTAAACAGTTCATCTAAAATGTTACTTTAGAGAGTGCTGGTTCTGAGTGATCCTCCTCTGAAGTTGCCCCTCTGAAAGCAGGCCCTATGCCGGGTGTGGCAGTGAGCCTGGCATCCCCAAGGAGGGGCCGTCACCTCTTGCAAGGATTGCCTCAGCCAAGTGGCTTTGCTCGGAGCCACCACTCCCCAAAGCTGCCCGCACTGAGAGCCTCCGGCAGGATTGCAAGTCCCAGGCCCAGCCTGGGC